GTTAGGTTAAAGTTAGGTTAGATTGAAGTTAGGATAGATTAAAGTTAGGTTAGGTTAAAGTTAGGTTAGATTGAAGTTAGGATAGTGTTAGGTTAGGTTAAAGTTAGGTTAGATTAAAGTTAGGTTACATTAGGTTAGGTTTGGGTTAAGATTATCCTGTTGGGCAAAAAATGTTTCATTAAAACATTTTTTAATTCTGTCCCAATGGTGGCGCTACAGGACACATTTTTACAGACATGTCTTAAATGTTCATTTTCATCATGCATGACACTTTTTCTAAATGACGTCATGTGTGTATAAGTATGTTGAACTCATCAGATTCATGATGTCATTAATTTATTAAATACATCTGAGAACATGATGAAAAAGTTTCCAACGTGTTTTTGAGCAGTTAAATGTTTTCATTCTCTTTTAACGTGAAACTTTGAAGCTCTTTTGAAACAACATTAATTTACACGACGTATTATATATTCATGACTTTAACATCAGACCAGTTCCATCTGAAGGTCCAGTGTAGTTTGAATTAAAAGACAAGAGCTCAACGATGTGACGGTTTAAAACCTGTTATCTTTAATATTTAATTTCTCTTTAAAGCACAATGGTCTTTGGGGGGTGGGGTCAGTTCACACTGTGCTCTGATTGGTGCAGGTTAGGGTCCCGTGCAGCTCCGCCGCAGAACAGCTGCTCTTCAGTTTTGGCAAGATCGTGCAACGCTCACAAAGTCGACCCAGAGTCGAACGGGTCGTGTGGGACGACAACAGTTAGTTTAAAGCAGCACTCTGTCCAGCAGGTGTCCCACCACAGGTGTCCCACCACAGGTGTCCACTCTACAGTCACCAGGACAAAGACAATGATTCAAATCACACAACAGTGAAGATCCAGCGTCCAACACAGACTGGAGCCTGAAGAGGAGGGCGACTGCTGGACCACCAGGAACCACCGGGAAGCCAGGTTAAGTAGGGAACACCAGAACCTCCTACAGGGGGATGAACAGGTTAGTGTAGCTGTGGTTAGTGTGGTTAGTGTAGTTGTGGTTAGTGTAGTTGTGGTTGGTGTAGTTAGTGTAGTTGTAGTTAGTGTAGTTAGTGTAG